CTCCCCTACTGGGAATATACCCTGAAGAACTCAATCACTCTATAAAAAAGATACCTGCACACATATGTTTATCGCAGCATTGTTCACAATAGCAAGAACCTGGAAACAACCATGCTGCCCATCAAAAGAGGACTGGATTTTAAAAATGTGGTACATATACACGATGGAATACTACACAGCCATAAAAAAAAAAAACAAAATCATGAACTTCGCAGCAACCTGGATGGAACTAGAGTCTATAATACTGAGTGACCTCTCACAGAAACAAAGATCCGAGTATCACATGTTCTCACTCCTATAATGGATCTTGAACATCCAATGTAATACTATGAGAAAATGACTGACGGTACTGGGAAACTATGGGGGGGGAGGGGGATGGGATTAACAGTAGCAAATAGCTGTCTGGGGATGGGAAAACACCTCTTATCAACAGGGTGCCTGAATGAAACGTAATTGTACACCTAACCCTTAACTGTACCCCACAAAACCATAATAAAAAATATTGATTAATAAAAAAATATAATAAAATAAAGCAACTTTTCAAATGGCCATTGGCAGGTTTTCTCCCATTTGCATTTATTCAAGTAAAATCAAAGTGGGATAAGGTAAACTTGCCGTCACACCTGGATTCACAAACTTAAGCTATCAAACTAACTCTATTGGTAAGTTATGAATTGATCTACCTTCACATTTGCTAGTTACAAGTGCTACACTCTATCAACTGAGAACTGATTTAATTTCCTGATAAGGTCTAGTATATGTAGACTATAAGGACTCTAGAATGTGCACTCAATATCAGGGTGTTTTTGTTTTATTTTGTTTTGAGAGTTTTCTTTTAGATTTGTCTATTATTTCTTTTAATTTTCATTGATATATATTAGATATACATTTTTTCACAGTACAAATGATAATTCGATACATTCATGTGGCTAAATCAAGGTAACTGTATACCCAGCACCTTAAATATTTATCTTTTCTTTATACTAGGAACATCTAGATTATTCCTTCATGGCTATTTTGAAATTTACAATCAACTAATTTTAACTATAGTCACACTACAAATCTGTAAAACACTAGGTATTTTTTTTCTATCTAAATCTATATTTGTATCCACTAATCAACCTCTCTTTGTCCCTCCTCTCCCCTCAATATCAGTTTTGCTATGAAAGGAGATAAACATCTTTAGTTTGCCTTTGTGCAACTCTGCTGAGACAAGATATAAATTAGAGACCAGGGAAATATCAGTCTTTTGAATTTGAATAGTCAAAATCTCTAATCATTAACATTTCTACTTATTGTTGGCAATTGTTCATCTCTTAGCTGTTTTAATTAAAACCTACTGGCATTTTGGGATATTCTTCCTGGTATTCAGTTCCTTGGAAATAAAGAAGACTGTGTTAGTTCATTTTTTAAAATGAGATGCCTTAAAACTAAACATTACTCTGAATTAAAATTTGTGAAAGAAGATATCTTCTTTGAAATATATTAAACAGTGCAATTAGAGTTAAATAAAAAAGATCCATGAGTTAGATGAGACATGAAATTTGTAATTTGCAGAGTTTCTAAAGTTAAAATTGTCAACTAGTCTAAACAAGCTTGCATGCTGTCTGGGAATTCAGGTTTTGGTAGAATTTGTGAGTGTGTACCTGCCCTGAGTCATGGCATATGATTGGGACCTGGGTTCTCTGTAGGACCCAATCTATCCAAGGTTGTTTCCAGCTAGAAGATACTTTCACCCATTGCAAACTCCTCCTCCTCTAAAGTTTAAAAACAAGCAAACAACAACAAACAACATTCCATCTAGTGAGCAGTAAAGATTGCTGAAGAGTTCTATGAACACCATCTTCACCCGTAATCCCAACCTGTGATTCCAATCAACAGTATCTTGACGTGCACCACAATTCAATTTGTACAAAGACTATAGATTAAAACAAAAGCCAAAAATCAGGTCTGTGAAACAGTAAAGGGAATATCTGTAAGATGCATTTCCCAAAGGACACATGGTATGTATCCCTATCACATTCAGCATACCATGAGACAGGATCAGGCAGCCTGGGAACCCTGCAGAGGCTGAGTCCTGAACTAATCCCTCACTGTAGTACATGGTGAGGGTGAAGAAATTGGGGAGCAACAATTTGTTAATTTGCTCACTCAAAACAGACTTCTTCAAGGAAGTTTCTAGAAACTGTCCTGTTTATAAAGCAACAAATGTTGATGAGCATTTCATCTCTGATGCATAATTTATCTAAATTGTTCTTTTTTGACTTGGCTCAGATTCTGCTCAAACATACAAACATATGTCTGTAATAAAAATTCTCAAATATTTTACTTCTGTGGGCATGTGTTAAACAGTGGTAGAAGTTGCTTGTTGCTATGATAGAATGTTTGAGTCTGCCCAAGATTCATACGCTGAAGCCCAATGCAGTGTTCTCAGGAGGCAGGGATTTGGGGAGGCAGTTAGGTCATGTAGGTGGAGCCCTTAAGAATGAGATTAGTGTCCTTACAAGAAAAGATACAGGGCCAGCACAGTGGTTTATGCCTGTAATTCCAACACTTTGGGAGGCCAAGGTGGAAAGTTTCTTAAGCCCAGGAGTTCAAGACCAACGTGGGCAACACAGCAAGATCTCCTCGCTAAAAAAAAATAAAAAATTAACTGGGCATGGTGTCATGTGTCTATAGTCCCAGCTACTCAGGAGGCTGAAGCAGAAGGATCACCTGAGCCCAGAAGGTCAAAGCTGTGGTGAGCCATGATCGCGCTACTGAACTCCAGCCTGGGCAACACAGTAATACCCTGCCAAAAAAGAAACGAAACAAGAAAGATACAAGAGAGAATATCTCCACTTTGTGAGAACACAACAGGCAGGCATCCGTCTGCAACCCAGGATGATGGACCTCATCAGGAAATGAATCATCGGGTACCTTGATCTTGAATTTCAGGCTCCAGAACTGAGAAACAACTTTCTGTTGTTTAAGCACCCAGTTTATGAGATTTTGTTATAACAACTTGAACTGAGTACGACGTTTGTCAAAGTAAAAGTAGGAGAGCTTCCTTAGAGACCATTAGAAGCTCACTATAAATCATTGTAAGCACAGGAGAAGCAAATGTTACCTACTCATGGCTTCAGGTGAAGGGTAGGTCAACTTGAGACCCCAGGATGCTCTGCACTGACCCACTCTGGCCTGCTCAAGACCAGCCCCATTCCTACTCAAAAATCTCCCACCTCCCAGGACTGATGAAGACGTCAACTGCCTCCTGGAATTCCAAGGAATAGGTCCATTCTCTGTGACATTAGCCTGAACATGTATAATGAAAAACTAGGAACACTTTTGGAAAGGTTCACTTCATCCATTCCACAAACCTCCTCTGTGCTCAGTACCCTGGGGAGTATTAAGGATAAAAATGGCAGAAAAAGAGATACAGTCTCTGTCTGCAGTCTGGTGAGAATGACAGACGGTGCAATAGTACTTACTTTTCTTCTCTTTAAAAACAACCACACAAAAAAATAAACAAAAATCCTTCTCTGACCTTCAGATGCCACCTCCGTCATCTGCTCCCTTTCCTGAATGCCTTTTGGAAGAGCAGCTCCTAACAGCTGTTTCTCCCTGATTTTGGTCCTTAGCTCATTCCCACTCCACTCCTTCTTCCCACAGACTGGCCCTCCTAGACCCCAGCAGCCTCCATCCATCTATCCTGCAGGCCTGAATGGGTCTGTGCAGAGCCCCTCAGGGTCTCCACCTGATCCTTCTGATCCAATCCCCTCCTGAGGCCCTGAGTGGGTGACATTTGGTTTGCTCAGTGGTACTGCCCACAGCTGACCAGTCCCCCCATCTTGCAGGTTGGCTGTTTCCCTCATGGGTGCAGTGTGGCTCCTCCTCCTCAGTCTACACTCAGCTTAATCCTGACCACCTGGTAGAGGCAGACTCTGACCAGCCCAGAACAGAAGGCTGCCTGCCCTGCGATCACTCCCTCTCTGTGTACGCAATGTGTCTGCTCACCATCAGCTCTAAGGGGTATCTAGTTTGTTTATTATCTGCTGTCCCCAGTAGAATGTAAGCTCTAAGGGAGAAAACAATATCAGCCTGTTCACCAGCTTACTCCCCAGGACTTCAGATGAACTCAACAAATAGTAAAGGTTCAGTAAATATTAGTGACTTTACACACACACACACACACATACACAAACGAGAAACATATGAGTTGAGAAATTATACCAAGAAAAGGCTAAGATACTATTAGTAGCAACAATGGAGCTAGTGCTCTGTGGGAAGGTGCAGTGTTATAAGGAATACTAAGGCAGATTCCACAGTGAGTTTGCTCTGTCTGGGAACCTGAAGGCGGGGGGTGGGGGCAGGTACGCAGAGTTGAGCAAAGTCCCTAAGGCTAGTCCCACACACCTTGAGCCAGCTGTGTAATACGCTGAGATGGAACATGCCTTCGACACGCTAGTCACTTTGGAAACTGGAGAGGTCATCGCTATTTGTCATTTGGCAAGCATCGTTGCCTACATTGGCAGTAAGATATTCTACTAGTTATGCCCCCGAACATATTATTTGAATGTTTCCATGTACCATCATCCACAGGATTATTTTGTTGGAAGCACTGTTTTTGAGCCAACCAGAAATCACTGATAATCCCAAGACAATATTTTACCCAGCAACATCCTCTAACAAGCATTCCATTGTATAAAATTACTCAAACGCAAATGGTCTTGCCAAGGAAAGATGTATTTTAGGAATAGTTTAGGAAGAAAAATGATGAAGAAACAAGCCATTGTCTTTCTAATTAAAATGATAACTAATATAGTGAAGAAAAGAGAGTAAGGTTAAGATTTCCAAAAAAGATGCACAGAGGATGAGGAAAATAGTGAGCATCTTGGGTTTTGCTGGTGTCAAGGAAAGAAGACAGACGTAAAGCGCGAGATTGAAACAGCATGCTTAGAATCTAAAACATGAAATCAGAAGATGGGAGAAAACTCTCTGGAGGAGGGCAGAACTCCTACCTGTGGCCAAATAGATGATGTGGACGAGTGTGTCTCTGCTCTGTACCACGTCGACGGCCATGTGGGAAAACCGGCTATTGTCTTCCATGAAGGAGGGCACTGGGGTCACTGGCTGCACCACTTCATGCATCAGAATGAACTTCTGAGCATCCTGCAGGTTCCTTTCTGTCAGGTTCACGTACAGGCCCTGGTCCACGGTGCCACACTGCAAGGAAAGACAGGCCATGTTACCAGAACCCACTGCCTGGACATCCTCAGATGGCTGTAGTCACTTCAGCCAGAGAATGACTTGGAAACTAAATAAGCCACAATGCATAAATAGAGTGTGCAGACAAGTTTGCCTCTTCCTTTTTCCCTAAAGTCTCGATCCTTAGACTCCCTCCCATTTTAGATTTGACTTTGTTTTATTTGGGGAGTCTCTCCACACCATCATGAGTGAACCGATCAGATGTTAAGAAAAAATAAAGTGGAAGTCATTACTAACTTTAAACGCAGATAAACAGAGACCGCACTTCTCCTGTTGAGTCACTTGGGAGCTGCCTAGCTAAACGCATCCTATTACACCTGTCTGATCTATTAGGCACCCAAGTGGAAAATGCAGTAACCAAGGACATCATGTAGACTTGCCAGTTTTCCTATTGTAGTGGTGGGTCTATAAACCAGACATGGATTCCATGGTGATAGCATTAGGTTATTTTAGTCTGTAAGCCACTTCATATCATTTTAATATCATTCACATGGGCTATATAAACACAGTGTTGGCCTTGTTGCTTTGTGTTTGTAATCCAAGCTAGAAGAAATTTTTTAAAAAATGTTTAAAGTCTAGGGATCAGAGAACAAATCTGGCAAATGTACAGTAAGAAAGGGAGGTCAGGAGATAAAACGAGGGAGGAAGGCAGAGAAGAAGGAAGAGGATATAAAGGAAGAGAGGAGAGAGAAGGAAATAATTTCAGATAGAGTGAGTATCGTGGCAATGAATTTAGGATATACAAGGGGGAACATCAGGTCTGCAAATTGCTGAGAATGAAATTCGGAGATGTGGTGTGGTGTCATGGATGACAGTTTCTGGCAAGGATGAGGTAAGAGGAAGGACAAAAAAGAAAGCACGGCTTTCCTGGCATCAAGCTCAGACTCAGAAAGTCACCACCAAACCCTCTCATGCCTTTCGATCCTGATACAAATGGGGACTGATACTCCTTTCATAAACTTTTGATCCTGATACAAATGGGGACTGATACTCCTCAGAACTTCACATAAGTAAGTTTGATAGAAACGTATTTCCAGTTCCACACAGCCTGAAACTACCATTTATAACGTGTCGTTTCTAAGGCTTGGTTTTGTAACTGGCTAGAGGTGTAAACATGCAAGTTGGAAAATGCTTTTTTTAAGTAGGTGATATTTTTGTAGCATTTGGTAAAATGAACCTCCATGCCATAAAATGATAAGTTAATTGTAGAACAAGAGAATCTGGAAATAGAATGGATTTTACGCATCTAGGCCAACGCTTAATTTTTTTTTTTTTGAGTTGGAGTTTCACTCCATATCCCAGGCCAGAATGCAGTGGCACACTCATGGCCACCCCAGCATCAACCTGCTGGCCATCAGCCATCCTTCCACCTCAGCCTTCCAAGTAGCGAGAACTATAAGAACATGCTACCATGCCTGGCAAATTTGTGATTTCTTGTAGAGATGAGGTCTCAACAAGTTGCCCACGCTGGTCTCAAACACACGGCCTCAGGCAATCCACTCACTTCAGCCTCCCAGGGTGCTAGGATTAGAGCTTGGGCCACCGAATCCAGCCCAATTCCTTCATTTTGTTTTTATTATAGCATGTTTGCTTAATTTACGGCAAGCAGAAAATAAGCTGGGTCTTGTGTTGATCCAAACATTGATGTTTTAAAGGTTGTATACAATATTTGTTTAAAAGAACATATAAAAATACCTTAATTTATGCCTGCGGGGACACCCCATGTGTCAACAAAGGGACTCAAAAAGGTTCAGCCCAGCACGCTGTGACCAGAGTGCTCCTCTGGCTCTGGAATGCTCCAGCCACGTGGTTTCAAGTAAGGCCTGGTCTCTCAGCCTCTGTCTCCTCACCTGTAACATGGCTTACAGATACCTGCTCTGCTCATTTGTCAGGGTTTTTGTGAGACCAGCTGAGATCATCAGCGGAAAGCATTGATAAATTAATTGAAAGTTCTAGTAAATGCCAAGGAACGAGACAATGTGCCTAGCACAGAGAAGCCATTCAAACAATGGTGAATGGGAAGTGCATTGGTCTTGCAGCAGGACAGAGTTGCATGGTCTGCTGAGTCTTGTGGCTGGAGAGAAACAAGTGAATAAACAAAAGAAAGAAGGAATCAGTGTGTGACTACCATACAGGCAGTTGTTGTTGGGGGACAAGAGAGAAAATGTTAGGAGATTTTATTCCATTATAGTATTGAACAGTCACACTTGGAGGACAGGGACATTGCCTGCCGATTAATATTTTTTTAAAAAATACATTTTTTAAAAGAACTCTCCTGGCTTGATCTGGTCTGTGCAGCTGGGTTCTAGTTCTGAGGATGGCTGGGTCTGGTGGTTCTCGCTCCTGAAGTCGATGGTCATACCAAGGCCCAGGTGGCAGTTAGCATAGACTGGGAGAGGAACTATGCACACATGTTTTGTTTCATAAGCACAGTGTTTTGTAAAAACCGGTATCATGAAAACCAGGAGGCATGGTGTAAAAATTAGAATCTCTCGCTGCTCTTGAGAAACCTAGAGAGTTGCGAGGCCTGGAAGGGAGTTCTCAGTGGCTCGGGATTTGTGGCAGGACCACATGCCACACCTTGTCTTCTTTATATCTAGAACCCATATCACCTTTACGTCATCTGCCTGTCTCATCAATAACTGGCATTGAAGTATACTCTACTACTTTTTTGGTTTCTTTTGGCAGACAATAATGAGATATCCCATCCTCGGATTCTGTTTTAAATCGCTTAAACACTTCAATTTAAAGGACATATTTATTGGATCATAAGCAACCCACCTAGCTTTTTAATGGCTGGACATTCTCTGGCTGCAACTTCTATGCTTGTCTGTGTGGGGCCCCGTGTAACACCCTCAGGACATCACGCAAGTGGAAAACAATAAAAACTAAAGCACAACCAGTGCCCTCATATGGCTTATAGTCTACAACGGTTGTCATGTCAACATCTCTTCTAGTAATAAGCTCCACAGTCATGCTAATATTTTAAACAGTAATATTAAACACTTGCACTTTGGTTTATTTACTTTTTTCAAAGACAACAAATCCATCCTTGTCCTAGCACAGCTAACCTCTCACTAAGGGCACTTGTTTTTAAAAATAATTTAATTTAATTTTAGAGTTGTGGGGTCCATGTGAGGATTTGCTATATAAGCAAATTGCGTGCAGCTGAGGCTTGGGTTTCTAGCGAGCCCTCTCTCCCCCCAGTATTAGACATGGTGCCCAATAGGTGGTGGTAGACCCCTTATCCTCCCTCCTTTCCTCCTCTATTAGCAATACCAGCATTAGTTGTTTCCATCTTTGTGTTTGTATGCCCAGTATTTAGGACCCGCTTAAATGTGAGAACATGCAGTCTTCAGTTTCTTGTTTTTGGAATCGTTCACTTGTCATGGTGGTCTAAGAGTACCAGCTCTTAATGGTCCCTTTTCACTTGCTTCCTTGATCCCTCCCAACTTGCTGCAAACACATGTCACTTATCAAAGGCTCCTGATAGATATGGCCAGATCTTGGCACTTGCTTTTCCAAACTGCCTCCACATTCACTTGACCACATTCAAGGGTCTATATTTTCATTTTGGCTCTATCCTTTCTGAGCATCTGTAATCAAAACTGCACAGAAAATTCTGGAGCCTGTCACAGCACAGCTGTGCCACTGGGCTTGGATGATATCTCATGTCAGGGATGGATACATTTGTTACTGAGGCTCAGGGTTTGGATGACTTGAACTGTAGCCTCTAACAGAGTGGGCTTTGCAGCACCACCTACAGTGGCTTCTAGAAGTTGATTGAGAAAAATAATAAATTGTTTTTGTTGTTTTGTCATTATTTTCAGTTGAGATTTCTGTATTATGTGTTGAAATATGCACTTTCCCTCCTATTTTTTCTGAACTCAAACTTCCTTTCTGTACCTCTGACTATTTAGCTAATTCTAGTGCATAAATGCTGCATGAAATTCCAAGTGTCAGTAGGGAAAACAAAAGAATTTAACAATTTAACTGTGTCTCGTTGGTTATTGCAAACATCCATCCTCTTACATATGTCTGGGGAGGAATCCTTAGTTTAAAAAGAATTCCCACTCTTTGTCAATCTGGACAGTTTCAAGAGTGTCAGTCAGGATACCTATGCCAGCATGGCTATCAAATTCAGTCAACAAAAAGAAGACACTTGGTAACCATTTATACTAGGAGTTATACAAAGAATCACCCGAAACTGTAACTTTAGCTCCCTGCAAGTCTCAAATTCTACCCAAAGAAGAAAAGCTCAGCTAGGCAAGCTTCCTTCCTGGAACACATACCGCATCTCTTCATGCTTCCTTTATGATGCTGCATAAACCTGCTTCCATCTCATAAAGGAGAGTAAGCCTTTTGGTGTGACTCTGGAATTATAAAACCTGCCACTTTTGGCCCGAGGACATGAGGGGATTTGTTGTGTGCTACAAATGTATCCAGATGAAGGGGATAAAGTTATCTGCTGCCTGGAGGAGATAAGGGATTATGAAGTTCATTAAGTCACTCTGTTCACTGGGAAAACTCCTGCAATAAAAACATCAATACATTAAAATTACGCTATAAATATAATAAGCATCTTTGTTAGTTTTCTAACCTTCAAAATTTTACAAAGGACTTCTTAAAAGGAATGATACATTTTCTCCTCTAAATAGAGGAGAGAATGAGACAAATCATACACCATCATGTGACACCCAGAGGGCACCAAATAAATGGCCCCTAAGAGTCATTTTTATCAAATGCTTTATACATTACACAATGCTCATTAATCAGTGTTATCAAAATTTACTCCTAAAATATTTCCATGCATCTGTATCTTGTTCCCCATTTTATTGATGGAAATGATAAATGATTTAGATAAAAGATGCTAAATAATTTGTCCGAAGAAAGCAGTAAAAATGAAGATGACATGTAAACCAGTCAGGAACATTTCATCAATAGGGATACTTGATCTCATACCAGGTGAAGTGGGGACCAAAGTGAGGCCAAAACGCTACCTGTACAATGACCATTTGCATACCTAACCCTGAATTGTATCCATCTTTAGAAAAAAAAATTAATTTAAAGAACAAACAGCAAAAAGAAAACTCAAAACACTTATAATTGAATGATTCTTGCCAAAAATCCAAGTGCTATATAATTAAACCATTCAATACTCAGTTTTCTCAGAAGCCAAAGATTTTTTTGCTTTAGAAAGTTGTTGACCCAGCCAGAATTTGGAGTCCTGGATACAGAACCCACTTCTACCACTGATTAATAATAGTCACTAACAGTCATTTTTTGAAAAGGTTGGGATTTTGCATCTGAGGATCAAGATTGGGATCCTAGCTTGGATATTAATCATCTCAGTGCCCTTGACCAGATGACTGCACTGGGGGTCCCTGGTGTCCTTCTCTGTGTGTAGACAAGTCATCATCCCCATAGCACTGCTGCCAGAGTGCTACAATGACAATGATGGCTACCTTATGGACATTGTAAAGAGGCCCTCAAGGGGAGCCTGCTGAACGTTTGTGCTCCATCCAATTTCATATGCCAAAGCCCCAACACCCAGTATGGTTTGATGGGGAGTGTATGGACATGGGGCCTCTTTGGAAGCAAATACAGGAGAATGAGGTCACAAGGTGGAACTCTGACCCAATGGAGCTGGTGCCCTTATCAAAGAGGAAGAGACTCCAGAGATGTCTCCCTCCACCATGTGAGGACACAGCTGTCTGTAAGTCAGGATGAGAGAGTCCTCACTAGAAAAAACAAACAAAAAACACCTACATCTTGAGCTTAAACTTCTAGCCTCCAGAACGTTGAGAACCTAAATCTCCCCTTTCTAAGCTGCCAGGTCTGCGGTGTTTTCTTACTGCAGACCACATCGACTAATACACCTGCTGACTGACCAAACATGAGTAAACTGCTTCTGGGTCTCAGCTTCACCTGAACACTGAGAGATGGACAGCTTATGAAGCCCTGGCAGCTTGAACCCGCTGCGATTTCCTGATTGCAGATGAATGGTATCCATCTCTTCCTCTCTCCCTCAGCTGCCCCCATCACGCTGTGTCCTCCCTGACAGGAAATCTGGCCACATTTGCCAATTAGAGCTCTAATCCTGTTTGTGGGTCTCCACTGCTCTGTGCCCTGGACCCCTTCATTAGCGCGTCATTCATTAGGGATCAGAGTTTCTGGGGACACCGAGCCCAGCATCATTAGTACTAATTGAAGCCTGGATTCTTAACCTGCTGCAGAATGCTGGCCTTTTTCAGTCCAGTCTCAGGCATCACCGCCAACAAAAGGCCTTTTTTCCATCCAGGCGCCACCGTTGACAAAAGGCCCAAGTCTATTGACATGAGCCAAGTAGGGTGTGGGGCTGTCCCCAAGGGCCCAGGGGAGAAGGCAGCTGCATGGTGCATGCATCCGCGGTCTAAACTGCCCCTGTCTCCACAAGGTTGCTGCGATCATCACAGAGGGATGCGCACCATGCCACTTCACCCCTCTGGAATTACCTGGAAGTTGGGGTTGGGGTTGGGATACGGCAGCCAGGCGGAGCGAGAGTTCTCCTGGTACTTGAAGGGCCCCGCGAAGGCCTGCGAGATGGCACTAAGGTTGAAGACGCAAACAGCAGAGGCTGCAATGCTGTTCCTAGGAGCAGAGGGAGAAAGGAGAAGGAGGTCAGAGAGCCCAGCAGCACCTGCTGACCTCCCCGCGACCAAGGGGGCAGGCAGCTGCTGTCACCTGGAGCCACTTCCCTGAAAGCCACAGTCTCTTAACACATCTGGAGAGAATGAATTCAGAGCAGTGAATGGAGCCCCTATGGCTCACTACCGGGAACAAACCCCTTGGGAGACCATCATACTTCATGAACTATCACAGAAACAAAGAACTGGATACTGCATGTTCTCAGTCATAAGGAGGCCCTGAACATTAATCACATTAGCACAAGGGAGGGATCAGCAGCCAGGGGGCACTGCCAGGGGGAGGGAGGAAAGACAGAGGCATGTAACAACACAAAAGAGTACTTCGTTCCAAACTAGGGGTAGTAAAGCCTTAACTTCACCTGCATGAAGTCTACTTGTGTATTTAATCCTTACTTGTACCCCACATCTCTATAATAAAATAAAATTTAGTTAAAAAAAAGTAAGAAAGAAAGAAAGAAAGAAAGAAAGGAAGGAAGGAAGGAAGGAAGGAAGGAAGGAAGGAAAGAAAAAAGAAAAAAGAAAAGAAAAGAAAAGAAAGAAACCAAGCTAGTTAACAGTTAGGACTCTTGAAATCCTGCCAGATGGGATTAAGTCACTCAGCCATAACAGGGCAATGAGGGATTTGGAAGAGTTGTATGTTCCACCTTTTACATTCTGGAAGAAAAAGACTTTTTCCTCCAGCGGATAGAGTCTCTCATCAGTGCTGGCAGCTCCTTTCTCAACCTGTTTATCTGGTTACTTTGCCTGACTTGTTTTTTTGTTTTGTTTTTGTTTGTTTTGTTTTTATAAAATCCTTGAATATTCCTGTTTATTTGTCATCCTTTAAAAAATAATCAACTCAAAGTAGTTTTCAAAAAGTGACTGTCTGACCCTTCATCTTTTTTTTTTTAATTTAAAGGGGATTTTTAAATTCAAAAGGCCAGAGAGAAAAACTTGACACAGCACTGACATGAAATCTTGAAGGCTTAATTTAGAATTCAGACTCTGCAGAGAAAGTCATAAATGGGAGGTTCTCAGAAGGGCCCTGCCCTCTGACTAACTGAAAACAGCAAAATAATTTCAGTTAAATATATTTGCATTTTGAGGTCAGCACAGGTTCTCAAAGGAGGAAACAGAGATAAAAGGAGGGAGCTTATACTCATATGTATTTCCTACATTAGTGCCCAAGACAATACCACATCCACTTCTTATCAACTGTTTTCCCTGCACTGAAGAAAGAATCCCGGAGGCTCTAAAACTGAAAATTCCTACCTTATATTTGTTTTGTTTGCAAACACTGAACTGGTGCTAGACAATGTTCCAAAGGCTTTACTAATTCCAAATCAGTATCTCCAGAAGGTAAGAGCAGTTCACAGGTAAGGAAAATGAGGCTCAAAGAGGACAAGACCTTGTCCAAAATTCACCCAGCCACTAAAGGGGGAGCTGGACTTGAACTCCAGGCAACCTGGCTCCAAAGACCAGGAGTTTGAATTCTTTTTTGTGAGCTTGTGTGAAGGAGACAGTATGTTAAAACATTCCCATGGAAACATAAGGGACTTGAAGACAGAGGTGACGTTCCTCCAGCAGTCCAGCATCAAGGACAGGGTACAACATGAAGCCCACAGGCCCCCTGTGCTGCAGAGTAGAGGAATGGACACTAATCCGAGTTTATTCACACTGTTCTTTTTACCCTTCTTGTCATTATCCTTAGGAAAAAACAGGAGCTGGGAGCAGTGGCTCATGCCAGTAATCCCATCACTTTGGGAGGCTGAGACAGGAGGGTTGCTTGAGCCCAGGGCTTCAAGGCCAGCCTGAGTAACATAATGAAATCTCATCTTTATTAGAAGGAAGGGAGGGAAGGAAGGAAGGAAGGAAGGAAGGAAGGAAGGAAGGAAGGAAGGAAGGAAGGAAGGAAGGAAGGAAGTCAAAACACAAGTGAAGGTAAGAATCAGCCTTTGAACACGTGACTAAACTTTAGCAAGAATAAGAAAACAACAATGCTAGAGCAAGAATGGCCAGATACAGGATGATTCCATCCAGGAGCCGGCAAGGTGTGCCTTGGGCCAGGCACAGTGACAGGTGGGTGGAGGATGTTAATAATAACAACATGATGGAGATCATCACCCTAAGTGAACTGACTCAAACCAAAAACTAAACCCTGCATGTTCTCACTTATATGGGGAGAGGGGCAAAAAAAAAAAAAAGTTAAAATTGTTTATTAGAAAATTGTGTATTTATTCTTACATGTTTAAACTCAGTTACCTACAAAGTACTTTTTATTTGATGCAATACACCTATTGAAATGCTTTTTCCACAGCTCAAACCCATTTTTGAACTCATCAATTTTGATGCCTTTTAGTGCTTCTATTGTTTTTCTGTTTAACCTCTTCCACGTCAGCAAAACATTTCCCTTTGAGGACTTTTTTCATCAGGAGAAACAAACAAGCAAACAAAAAGTTACTCGGGGTGAGATCTGGTGAATAAGGATGGTGGGGCATGGTGTTCATGCTGTCTTTGTTCAAAAATTGCTGAACACTCAGCTCAGTGTGGGCAGGTGTGCTTGTAAATCACCAGTCATGAAATGGGCAAAAACGCTGAAAGAATCTCAAAAAAAATGTTACTGAAGTTGAACTCAGCCTCTCACAACAACACTAGCTGGAACACTGATGCCGATGGGTTCCTAGAACACTTACCTCGCAGGGAAGCTTGTACTATAAGGGGCTCCCCTCCAAAAGATAATTCCTTTTGGGGGGGTTCCCCCTTGTATGTGGCAGCTAAATGGCCACATGGATGGAAATAATAGACACTGGGGACATCAATAAGGGGGAAGGTAAGAAGAAGGGTTAAGGTTCAGAAATTATCTACAGGGCACAGTGTTCACTATCTGGGAAATGGATAGCCTGAGACCCAATCCCCATTACTACACAATATGTCCATGTAACAAACATGTATGTGAAACCCTGAATCTATAATAACAATTAATAATAATATACAAGAACAACATCACCATGAGCCCACTGCTAAGCACTTGACAGAGATCACCTAACTTTTCACAGAGAATCTACAGATCTTGAAAAGAACCTGACTTTACAGATGGGCAAACAGCAGCACAGAGAGGTTACTTCAGCCAAGTCACAGGCTGTGTGTGTGGGTGGGGGAGGAGGAGTTAAAGCAAGATTAGAACATGCTTTGCATGGAGCCCCAGAGTTCATGTCCAGGTCCCCTCCCTGGAACAGGATGAATCTCATCCTCTTCCTCCTGGCATCATGTTTCTCCACACACTCCCCTCACCAGCTTCAAGTGGGACTGCTCAAGGCTCTGGTGTCACCCAAAGACTCACGGTAGCTGCTGGTCTGAATCTCCCTTGCTGGCGCTGAAGGAACGCTTTTTCCAATCCTCTGTCCCATCCCCTGGTGAGCATAGTAGGTAGACCACACAGGCTCCCCTCACCATCCCTGCCCCCTCCACACTTCTATTGGCTGTGCTCTGGGAGGAGGGTGTTGTCGCTCCACAATCACCTTCCCTCTCCCCTGCCCCTCCTCCTCTCCCTGGGAAGAGTTACCTGCAGGAAGTGTGCATACCCCTTCTCTCATGCCGGTGGGCAGGTGAGACCAGCCCAGGTCTAGATGATCATGACCTTTAGAATGAGTCTGTTTAAAGCCAGGATCAGTATAAATAAGCACATCTGGCCAACAGACCTACAGCCATGTGTTCCAACCTAGCCTCTATCAGCAATCAAGGTAATCATGTGTCTTCATGTAATATTCCATTTTATTTCTTAACTTGCTCAGAGCCCAGGTGGATCAAAAAGGCACTAGGGACCCCCTTAATGAGACCAACAATAGGGGAACTTAAGGTTTGCTTCCATGTGAAGCCACTGGAAGAAAAGTAGGGGAGTTCCTTTCAGTTTTTCATTTTCTTAGAATGGAAGAACAATAAAATTCTCAGTCTCACCATAGCTTTACTAGCTAATATCTATACCTATACCATCTTTTTATACTCTCTGTATGGTATGGCATCAATACCACAAAGAACTATCAAGGTGAGCTACCATTTTTAGGTATCCAGAGGAAGGGAAGGGGTGGGGAACAAACCTTCTGTGACTTTATTGCAGCAGCATACCATTTCCTACAGGTCAACTCATGCCAGGGTGACTGAGAAAACCACATGATTCGAGGGTCACAATGAGTCAGAGCAGTTACCTTTGATCCATCCTCCTAGTGCTGAGAAGCCTTGACTAACGAGAAGAGGCAACCCAAAACTCTGAGCCTCAAACTTAGCTCAGTACTGGATGACTTCTAATTCAGAGATGGGAAATAACTGACTACCTCTGATCCCTATTTTCTTTCAGTTTGAAGCAAATCTTATCAAGAATATGGTCAAACTTTTAGAGGGTAAGATCAAGGCTGAGACATGAAAGGGAGCAGAGGTGGAAAATATTGAGAAATTAGAGATAGTTATATCAAAAATTCATCCCCAAGATCTAGTGAGAATAAATATTCCGGAGAAAGGGGTGATACGGTGATTCTATCTCTGCCAGTACAGATGTTATATATTGGGTGACTTCTGACATGATGAAAATTTGTATGACTAAACAAATAGTCTGGAATTGTCTGTAACATATTATTATGACCATCTAAATTGACCATGCACCATCTTAGAATGTTTCAGACACTGGACTTTTATAACTTTTGAAATTGGTGTTTTGTTTTGTCTTTTGCCAAGCATCAGGGGAAAGAACAGCAAGTAAGTCAAGCTCCCCTTGTATGTAGAATCGATGTCAACTGCACAACTGAACATTTATCTTGTGCAACCTTCACTATTTTTAAACAAGTTTTTGGAAAGCAAATCAACTTTAGAAACGGTACATTGATTTTTTTTTTTTTTTTTTAAGAAACTCATCCAAGAGGGACAATAACCTTTGGGGTTGAAGATCAGATTTACAACATTAAGGATGGTCATGGTGGAATGGGAGAGGCTCTGATATTAGCCTAATTTTTCTAACTTCATGTCAGAAAGAAGATGCTTCATGCAGCAAAAGTTGTTATTAAGCAAATGTCAACACTTAAGTTCAGCAATGGAGAGAGCAAGAAAGAGGTAAAAGGCAGGTAAAGTGACTCTTTAGGAATGAAATTCATAGGCAGGCTTCTGATGACCAAGAGATGAAAAAATAGATTAAAAATACATAGGAAGAAGAGCAGACATGATAGGGTGACCAACTGTGCTAGTTTGCCTAGGAATAACAGGTTTCCTTGGACACAGGGCTGTCATCAATGCTACCACTGGGATAAACCCAGACAATTCAGGAATTGTTAGTCATCCTACCCCACTAAACAGTACTTCCAACCCATCTAGATTCAGATTCTTTACTTTAGATACAAATATTTGACTTTTATTCAAGGTGTTGAGTCACTAGATTAGAAATTTTAAAGGCTATCAAAATCAGAACCTGTAGTGTAGAATTATCATCTGCATTGCCCATGTTGAAGGAAGTGGTACTCAAAGTCCCAATGTGATCTGTGATTCCTGAGTTTGTGATATGTTCCTGTTGAGTCTTACACAGCATGCCAGCTAAGGATGGGAAACAACTGTGGCATACCACCAGACTGAGAGTGAATGAGGGATCAGAAAACATGATAGGTTTATGTCAGCCCAAATATTGTTTGGTCTGAAATTTGGAGTTCTCTCCAAAAGAAAAAAAAAGACATAATGTTTCCAAACTATTCTAAAAGTACAATTGTCATTTACAAAATGTGTGCCCAAGAGCACATTCTAGAGTAGGAATGTGCTCTTCATATTTGAGCAGGGGTTTAGGTAAGAGTTATGCTATCTCAGAGATCATACTTTCCAGACAACACTGCTTCCATTATGCATAAATGCATGACTTGCACATTGAAGAAAAGGACATGCAATAAGTACCAGTATTTCAGAGAGTGACCAAAACTCAGTGACAAATCAGAAAGGAGCAATTTATAATCGTATAGTTTAATATTACTATTTCCTAAAGACAGATCAAAAATTTCTTGATCAGCTATATTTTCCTAATACCAATGTCAAAAATTACCTATTTTTGTCTAACATTTAGTTCCTACTGAAAAGGTTTTTTTTTAGCTGTTGTCCCAGTAAAATATGAAAGATTTTCTTTAAAGCAACACTGAAACCTCAGAGATCAAAAAACAAAAGACTTATTCAGAATGAGTCAAAGAAAAGGGAGAGAAATTATTTTGTGTTACATACACATTGGTGGTAAAGATGCCATAGATCAAATCCAGCTCAGGCAGGAAAAAAGTACTCTGCAACTCGTTGTAATAAAAAGGGACCTCCCCAGGGCGGGAGCAGTTCAGGCGCGCCTTCATGAATGTCGTCCAGGTGTCCTCCAACAAGAAGCGCCCTCCAATGTCATTCTTGCAGACCCGGGCAGCTCTGGAGAACACAGTTTTCCCACAGTCATGTTCTACAGCATTTTCTCGAAAAAAGAAGTAGGTAAAATTTCCGATGTCATACGATGACACAAAGTTTGGTTCTGAAAACAACAGAAAAGAAGAAGAAATATCTCAACATTCATATGTCATTTCTTTTTTGCCTTGTCTGCTCAGTATTTTCTCCACAGAGACACCATTATGTTTAGATAACACCAGGTTTTTATACGACAGGGGGGCCCTGTGAGCAACTTGATGATCTATGCTACTGGAAACTCAGTTTTATCCACAAGTTCCAAATATTAGGAAACCACTGGCAGGATTCCACATTCAAGTATTCTGAGCTAAATCAAGGCTCCAAGTAACTTGGCGTTAATGCCACAAAATATGGATGGCAAAGATTTGTAGTACATTTTAGAGCAATACATATTACTTTATTTGCAAATTCGTACATAACATTCAAAAAGAGAAGAAGAAAATAAAATTAAAAAGAGGAAATGTGATTCCGAATACAGCAGTCTGCTATCCTATTTGTGTACAAGAAAACAAAATTATTTGACTTTACGATATACATTTCTGTGACGTTGATATAATCTATGTACTTTTATTAAGGAGTTTTCATTGGTGAACTAAAAAAAAACTAAAACCATGAGGTTAGTGCCTGGAATTAGCTTTAGCAATTCCTGTTACTATGGTAACCAAGTAACTGTGAGAATCAACTCTTATTTTCCTATTTCTGAATCCATTTAGAGGAGGTGAGAGTATTGACATGGAGGCATTGCCTCCTAGTTTTCTGGTCTCATGATTAGCTTAAAATGAGGATACAAAAATGACAAAATCATGGCAAAATGTTTATTTGACCACCAGGCTCATTGGAAATTTAGGAAAAATACATTATCAACTGGATTTTACATATAGCATTTAAGGTGCTAGCTTCCTAACTTTCTGTTTGAGACCATTGATACCACTGATACAGATACAGATACGCCCTCATATTGCTTTTAAAGGCTCTAATAACCAGGTTTCATTCTTATTCTTTTCTCTATTTTGAAGAATTTTCCACTCCGTCTGCAAGCATCCGAATTTTATGGTGCAATTAGGATAATTATTGCAATAACCTTTGGAATTCAAGATGAATAGAAAGATATAGACAACAGCTACATTCACAAAGACACATTTGCAAGAACAATGAGTTTGTTGAGGCAATTCAATTGGCTTGTACTTTTCCAGATCCAATTGGATGGCACCAGTAAACATGTTATTGGCAGGACAACTAAAAATCTGTCTGGCAGCAAGATGAGCCATTAATGTTAAGAAAAAGACACGGGCAACCCCCTCGGGTCCCCTCCCATTGTGAGAGCTTTCCTGTGCTCTCAATAAATCCTGCTTTCAAAAGAAAAGAAAAAGACACACAACAGGATCATCAAGGTCCAAAATGCAGATATTGACTTTAGACATTAACACAGAGTTGGCATTGACTACCGTGGCATTCTGTCCAGAGAGGCCGTTGCCAATTTTCAATCAATATATATATATTCAATATCATCACAAAATGTTTTAACTTAATCCAATTTTACATTTTAAAAAGGTAGCAAACATTCTAAATGGTTTATGCATTGTGCTTTTCTCTTCAGTAAAACATATTGTCAAGTCATGTAAGTACATCATGTAATACACTGAGATTTTGACAAGAACTGATTTTAATTTATAAACTGTCACACATATTCTTAAATCACTATTGCTTTCATCTGAAATGCATATTTAAAGAAAAACAATCTGAATCACATTATAGTGCATGAGATGGAAGTTAGATATGTTTACTATAATGGTATACTTTAATATCGTGGAAAGATGCTCACAAAAATAGCAGGTTACATACCTGAAGCTTGTGTTTTTGGAATATAAAAAAACATATATTGGGGAAACTTTTGAATCTGTATTCACTATGACGCTGTAAAAAAAGAATTGCTTGCTGAAGCAAACCCCAAAGGCAAAGACACAGAACAATTAAAAAACAACTATATATAATGAAAATATTCCCCAGCACGTCTAAATCTGAAGAGAAGGTTGAATCATTTCAGAGGGTCCTGCACCCAGGCTCATATAACCAGAACTACAGTTTGATCATTGTACAGTCTGAACACAAACAAAAAAAGTACCACCATCATCATCATCAACAGTAACAACAAAAAACCTCACCTAAAAAGAGAAAACAAAGACAGAAGGCTCAGGTGACAGGGTGTGACTGGTCTGGCATGATGCTTACTTGCACGTGTCCGGGAGGTGTGAGGTAGACTCAACCAAAATTTACCAAACACAACAATCCACTTCTGGGATTAACTTGGGGACACATGGCATGAAAAGCACACTATAAATATCTCTAGTCTTTAGGAAGCCTTGAGCAGGAAAATAAGCAGCTACAAAGAAAAACAGATCTCTTATGGCTTCTTCCAGCTGAAGGTTGGGCATATACTAAAAACTGCTAATATCTGCTGAGCGCTAGCTTTTGTGCCAAGCAAACTCTGTGACCAGAGCTTTACCTTCACATACCCATTAAACTCATCAAAATCACAGATGTAAGTGCTGTGCTCTTCTTCCTATCTCATAAATAATGAGCCTAGATTGTAATGGCTTGTTCATGTTCACATGACTAGTGATGGGGGAAGTGATGAGGGAAGGAGAGGGAAATTTCCAAACTTAGGCAGTCTAACTTCTGAGCCTACATATCTACCATTACACTACACTGAAAAAAATAGTGGTCTGCCAGGGAACAATCAATTGTGCTAGCAATAGTCAGGAATAGAGTTTGGATTTCTGGACAATACTTTCGAAACCAGAATGGTGAGCTCTTGGTTGGAGAGTCATCATTCCATTGAGAGTAGTGAGCAGGTTTACCCAGGAACAAGCTGAGGAGGGACTTGGAACCGGCTAAAGGGAAGATAAATGACTAGAAGGAACTTTAGCCTACAGCTATTAGAGACATCAGGAATGATACAGAGAGAAGAAAAAATGTGAGGGAGAAGCCAACAATCCAAAAACATATTAAGAATACTGTTGGGAAGTGTCTGATTCAACTCCAGAGATGGTGTTTCAAAAGGCACCCACCATAGCATCAGAGTGCTGTCAACTGACTCTTGGAGGGGTCATTCTGTGCCCTTTGTTCATATTTTTTGTTCCTTTTTGTTTGAGAAAACAAGAATTTGTATTTGGTTTGTAGTAGGTGTTCTCTGCTTCACCCCACAGTACAGGTCATGTTGGGCCGGGAGTTAGACTACATTTGGAAACAACCTGCAGACCTACAATGATCCTTCAACACGAGGCTGGGTCCCTGACTGGGTGACCTGCTGTTAACTCAGGAAGCTCTGTTTCTTGGAAAGTAGAGCCTCTTGAAAATCAGCCAACATCCAGTTCCTTTTTTCAAAGACAGTAAAAAAGTGGGAATAGTTGTTAAACAGTCAAATAACTCTTACATTTATTGATATAAATGTGGAGACGGGCACGTTTGAATCTCACTAGGCAGGATAATAAGATACATGTTGTTTTCCTTCCACTGTTTAACTTCTGTCTCTTCTCAAAATGCAATTCACGACGAACTAGTATCTGCCACTCATGAGTGAATGGAACAAGTCAGAAATCAGGCATCATCTTCTGATCTACAGTGGATATCAGCGTGTGAAGAGAGATCTGAGGTGACTGCTAACTAATTCACAATAAAAACAGGCATGTGTATGTCGGCTTATATATAAATATAGGCATGGAGAAACTGTTTTTCTTGTGTTTGAAAAGCAAACTGAGTTATGGGTTACAGAGTGTGGTACAAAATAAGAATTGCACTTCATGATATAACAATTTTTATTTAATATCTTTATTTGCATAATAGTGGCCATGAAGATAGGAGTGCTGAGAAGAGATACACAATATGAGAGGGACCCAAAAAAACCCAGACTTTTTGGAGAACAGGCCCTTGTACAGGCTTCCCCCACTAGGTAAGTGTTCTAAGATCCCATCAGCATCAGCACACCAGCTAGCGTTGTTGAGAGAGGTTGTATTTGGCTTCAGCAATTTTTTTTTCTTTTTTTTGAGATTCTTTCAACACATTTGCCCATTTCATGATGGGTGATTTCGCAGTGTACCTGCTCACACCATGCTGAGTGTCCAGCAGTTTTTGGCCAAAAGCACATGACCAAATGCTCCACCCGCCCTATTCACCTGATCTCATCCAGAGGGACTGTTTTTTATTTCCCCGGATGAAAAAAAAGTCCTCAAAGGAAAATAGTTTGCTGACGTGCAAGAAGTGAAACAAAAAACAAACGGCAGAAGCACTAAAAGGCATCAAAACTGATGAGTTCAAAAACTGTTTTGGGCAGTGGAAAAAGTACCTCCACAGGTGTTTTGCATCAAACGGAAAGTATTTTGAAGGTGACTAAAGGTTAAACATGTAAGAATAAATACATTATTCTCTTTCCTCTGTTTTAGAATGGCAACACCATCCAACATGCAGTATCACTGTGAGAATCAAAGGGACTTGGGTAGTAAACATCAAAATATAGACCTCTAATTATTAAAAACTCTATCTCACAATAAAAATTGATATAAGCACATGTTGGTAAACAGATCATCAGTAACAAGCTAGCTCATTAATTATGCACTCTGTATATCAAATTAGGCTCTGTACTTCCTTCAGTGGTCTGAAACCAAACATGGTAGCTGAGACAATGTTATACACAGAGCTTGGAAAGTCAACCAGAGATTATTCCACCAGAGGTGTTTACTCACCATTCCTAGGTTTTTTGTGTCCTCCTCAAATACAGAATTATGAGTGATGGGAAGAAGAAAAGCATCAAGAATTTGAAGATGTTGGCCATGTAAACCAAATGACATCCAAGTGAAACTTCCCATTTTAAATTCTTCCTATTCTAATGCCTAATGCATCAATTACTATGGGGGTGCACCATATTCAAATGGTTCAATCTCATCATGGATCAGGTCATTGATAGGTTATTGACATAGAAACATTTAGATCAAGGAGAATGGATATTCAAGCCACAAAGGAATTCCCATTTTCCAACTCTACAAAAATCTTACTCGAATCAAATCTATCATA